GTAACAAGGGGCAATGCCAGTTCAGCCAAAAGGCTTACATTCATGCGCAAGTAGCATTTAATCATTAATCATGAAAATTTCACATTTATTTAGGTCGAGTGCGATAAAGTACACACTCGCCCAGAAAACTCGTTAACAATCATTGAAAGCACTTAACGCATTATCAATCCATAATAACAAGCCAATAAGTCAAGGAATATATCAAACAAGGACACTCTCATATAAGCGCATGATATGCAAGAAAACAGTTCAAAAGTAACTTTGGAAACAGTTCAAAAGTAAATAATGCAAGAAACGTTTCACAAGTATCCTAAGTTAATGCTGAGATGGCTTTTTAATCATCTTTCTTCTTTGAAAAATTTGGATGTGTATACTACTGATATTTCTTTATTTACAGATTCAACAACAGATATCTGTTGGAAACATTTTCTCTGTATCACCAAAATATTTTATCATCATATTTTCGTACTCATATTGCAGGTCGAAATTGACTAAGACTATGGATTCTTCTCTCTGGGATCCACCAATTTGTGAAGGTTGCTCTGCCTTGTTATTTTTTTAGCTAAATGATTCAAGTTACTACGGGTGGTTGTTTAGACTGAAAAAATTACTGGAACTCTGTATAGATTCGAATTTTGCAAGATGGAAATTTTCTATTTCACTAAAGCTGACTTCTTATTTTTGTTTGTGTAATTTTTGGTTACAGATGACAGTGCCGATTTTAAAGGAAATTGGCAGTCTGATTTCTCCTCTGGTGTGGGGTGCGGTAAGTTTATCCCCTTTACAATGTTTGCTAATCAGTTTCTTTAGGGACTTTTTTTATACTGACTTAAGGTCCCCTCTTTTCCATTATATGTGTGTCATAGATGTCATGGAAGAAGATGCTATAAATGAAAGGTGTTGTATCGAAGTGCTGAAAAAATTGATACCTAAGGCTGATGCCGAGATAAAGGAACTTGAGGAAGAAATTATATTTCTTCAGGCCCAAGTGGCTTTGGAAGATGATGCTTGGGCTAAGATATGCTTTGATACTTTGACAGAGAGGACCAAGGCGCTAGATATCTCGATTCAGAGATTGAAGAATGAAAAAGTGCAACAGCAACAAGGACAGGCGTCTAGTTCGCAAACACATGGAGATCCTGCTCAGAATGAAAAACAACAAACAGAAAATGAACTAAACTTTTGTTTCCAAACAGATGGAGATCCTGCTCAGAATAAAAAACAACAAACAGAAGATGAATTGGATGTTTGTTTTCAAACAGATGGAGATCCTGCGAAAATTGAAAGCCTACAAACAGAGAAGGACCTTGATTCTCACATCCAAACATGTAAGGAACCTTCTCAGAACCAAAAAATACAATTGGAACATGAGATGCCTGTTCTTTGCCAAACACATCTAGAACCTGCTCAGATTGAAAACCTGCAAGCGGAACATGAGCGGGATTTTAATTTCCAAACAAATGGAGATCCTGGTCAGGGTGAAACACTACAAATGGAACATGAAATGGGTGTCCCTCACCACAAACATGGAGAACCTGCTCCGAAACTGAGTGAAATACTAAAAGCTCTTCTGGAAAAGTACTACTTTCCAAACAGAGATAAGCAGGTTTGTGTAATACCTCAATTTTATTCTGTTGCTCTGCTGCCCCATTAAGCAAGTTGGCATGGTTAATTGATTAGACATAGTTTTTCATATTACCCTCTACTATCCCCTGGTTTTTCTTGTTTGTAAATAAGTGCAATAGTTGATGTGAAGTGAAGCGGCTGAAAACCTGTTCTGGATTATTTCTGGTCATGTCACTTTTCAGAATATGTATAAATTTCCTATCCAATACCTGAAGAAATTTGAGACCTTAGCTGCTAAATGCTTCCTACCATGTTCACTGGTATTAAGCATCTCAAAAGCCAGATAGATGTATGACTGAAAGAGTATTATCGGGTGAGGTATTTGAGAACTTAGTCAAAGTAACTTTCAGGGAAAGAAAACCTTTTCTTTTGCTCTAGGACCAATCAACATTTTTTTAAGAAGTAAGGAAGTAAAACAGCTTCATCGATTACATGAATTAGATCAGGTGAACAAATCACTTTCCGCTTCCTCTTGTTCATCACGTTTTCTGGGGAATAATGGTATGGGCTATTGCGGATTTAAATTATAATCATGACTTTGCATGCCAACATGATGTACGCTAGTTGAATTGTAGTCTGTTCTTTTAATTTAACATCTTCTGCACTATTTGTATATGGTATTGCTGGCAAATGTGATGTCAAATACTCCATCTTTGCCGATGTGTATCACTGGACATTTGATGTCGACTTGGTGCTTGGAATTTGTTGTGTGTATTATTTGTTTCTTTTAAGACCTCATTTAAGTAACAATCACTTTTCGCTTCCTCTTGTGAGAAGCTCACCGCTCTCCAGTCCACAGATGAGACCGGCTTGAGCAATGCTGAAGCAATAGCCTGTGTTGCTAAATCCTTGGAAGAGATTGCTGAACCTTTTAATCTGGAAGTTTCAGAGGGTGCGGAAGAGAAAGACCAGGTAAAGACAACCTCTTTGCATTATTTTGCAGTTCCTAGCATGGCTGCCCTGCGAAATCTGTCAAGTGCTAGATTTGAATTCGCAATTCTAACTTGTGACTCGTGTAGACTACAAGATATCCTTTCTCTTTGTTACATTTTCATATTGTTTTTCTCCAAACAATGATCAGAATGGAGATACCACAATCATCAACTCATTCCCAAATCTTTCTGAACATGCAAGTGAAGCATCCACCAAGAGAAAAATGATGGAGATTGATTCAAGCGGAATACATGATTCAACGACCGAGGCAGAGAAGAGGATGTATACCCCAGACATTCAGAAGGTACCTACCAATCGGTCGTCAAATTAGGAATCAATTATTATAAATGTAAAAATTTTCTTTTGACTTTGCTAATCTCATACAACAAACAGGAAGCAACTGCTATGATGATGGATACCAGTGCGAATGCCTTGAGCTACATAGCTGGTTCAAGCAGTGGAACAGTGGGCTGCAATCTTTCTGAAGAAACAAGCGGGGCAGTCACAGTACAGAATTTCAGAATTGAAAGCACTAAGTTGAAGCCATCTCCAAATCCCGCCGAAACCACCATTACAGAAACTGATATGGTATGAGATGTTTCTTATGTACTCGAACTGATAAACAAGTTAGGCCTAATCATTTGTGAGACTCTTGGTTTCTGGTTTCTTTAGTTTGATGTAAGCATGTACTAAACCTTTTTTCAAGCTGAGGAGGCGACAGTAATGTATCCCTTTCGAGCACCCTCATATCGTTTAACTCACTGAGACGTGACTTATCAGTTGTACCTGTTATTATATTGTGAATAAACATATCTTATAATTACTATATTAATACTAATTCTTCTGAATTCTATTAGTTACTCTGCTTGAGAATTGAAATTCTCAGTGTAGGTCGAAATATTCATATATCACACTTAAATATCTAAACGAGGATGTAGAATATCTGCACCATATGCAGAACGAAATTATGTGCGTTAATGTATTTTTTTCTCTTTTCTTGATTTTTTTTGTCTATTGCTTTTGTATTCTAATTCAATAAAGAAGTAATTTTTTTCTATAAAATTACTTGTTAAAATCCTAACCAATGGAGACTTTTGACAAAAATGGGATTTTGGGTTTTCACAATTTTTCCCCCTACAAAGTATGAGGATTCAATATCTACATGGTAAATTTTCATTTCGGAGATGATTCTTATGTGACTAAGAAACTGTGTTGCATCTTTTTTTTTGTTTTTTTTTGTTTTTTGTTTTTTTCAGAGCATGTTCCAGCTTTCAGATATCACTTCAGTTTGCATGACTGATCCTGTAGAACGGAAGGTTGAAAAGGCTGATATAAACAACTCGAAAGAAACCGAATTTCCCCTCCTAATGAAGCAAGAAGATTGGAGGCTTTTTGATTTCGAACGGGCACTTGGAGGATCATCTTCAGAGCCATTGCTGAAGGAGAGACAGGAACCACAACTGTTGAATCAAACACATCATATTGAAGGAGTTGGAGCAGAACCATTCACGTCAAACTGCTTGAAGTCAGGGATTCCCGAACACAGAGACAGGCCCTTCCCCATGTTTGAGTCGGGACTACTTCCAGAATCGGCCCTTGGTATGGAAATGGAGTACAAACCTCAAGACTCATATAGAATAATTCTTGATGAGAATAATTCTATGAACAAAAAAATAAAAGAGGAGACTCATATAGACTTCAGCGGAGAGAAGAGTTGCAATGTTGTTTCGGCTTGTCAGTCACCGGGGACAAGGCAGAAATCTGTACTCCCCCCATTGATCAAGAAAGGTGAAGAGTTGGGCAATCTCCAAGTCACTCGGACGATGCAAGAGGGAAGGCTCAAAGGTTTGTTCAAGGAGGAAATCGATCGGATCTCCAACTTTCCTGCAGCGAATGAATTTGGAGTTAAGAAGCCTCTCAAGTTACTCTCTTGTACAACATCCGTGGCCACAATGAATCTCGAGTTTTTGTCGATGGCTCAACTCAGAGCCATGGCAAAGGAACGCAACCTCAAAAGGTACTCTAAACTCAACAAAAGTGACTTGATCAAGCTTCTTAATTTCCCACCTTCAGCCATTTAATTTCCCTTGTGATTGCAAACATACTCAGTTACTATGGAAGTCGCACGTACTTATCTCTGCTTCGGTTTTTAGCCATTTTACAGAAAATGCCATTATAAACTTTAAGAATGTGGAAGTGTGACTCATCTGGATAAAATTTTGATGATTTTTGGTACTCTGTTGGTTTCTTTTTGCCGTGGAGCTCGATATTTGACCGGGCCATAATATTGCTGGTGATTTACTTGCTTGGGTAACTGCATATGGATATTATTATTCACGACAGTGCATTCTTGATATAAGGATTCTGTGAAATTCCACACTTTTTGTGGTTATAATTCGACTGCACGCAGGAGGCAATTCAGCAGATAATGTGGTAGCAACTCCCCCAACTGTTATCAGCAAATCTATTGAGTTGGCTTATGATAAGTAGTAGTTGCAAAAGCAACTCTCTTAGTGTTTAGCAGCTACAGAAAAACCAGAGGCATCACCTTTTCTCTCAGACCGATCTTCTAAATTGTTTAGCAGTATCAGGGAAGTTACAAAGCCATTACCGTTTTCCCTCAAGGATTGATACAGTCAGCACTTGCTCTCCTTTAGCTTTCAGAAAGTATCAATCTGATTCTGGATGAATTCCATGTTACAGCATAAAGACAAATTTAGAGAATGAGGGTATTGTCAGGATTGGGAGTTTTCAACTGAGTGATGAATTGGGGGTTTATCTTATCATTTTGAAATCAAAGGCCAAAACAATCCGAGACTTACCTGCATTTAGTAGTCCAAAGAGAGACCATTTGCAGGTACAGAAATTTGAAGAAAGCTAAAAAATAAACCATTGGAGTTTATCTGCTGCTTTTGATCATGGTACACTTTCAGGTCACAAAATGGAATATCATTCTTCCCTGCAAACAACAATAAAACACAAGAATCAAACAAAAAATTCTTAGAAAGAAAAATAGAACACAACAAAGAAAAGTTTTGGCACTTAAATATTTTCCTAATCTCAACCTATCCCACATCTAGACTTATCCAGAACTAAGAAAAGTATCTCTCTTCAGAGGCAGAATCTAAAACTCACCTTTCTGAAAGATTATGGGCAATGCCAGAACTTTACAACGCACGACAGTCAAAAGTAACAAGATAGAAATAGGAAGTTGGTGATTCTCTTCTCTCTCTCTCTCTCTCTCCCCCACAGCCCACCCCCTCGCTCCCCCCTCCCCCTCCCACCAAAAAAGAAATATCCCAAAAAAAAATTCTATATTCAGGTGCTGAACCTGGACATATATCATATCAAAATTTGAAGTACGCAGTATAAGATCTACTTACCAATTAAACAGGGCATTATGACCACATTGTCTCAACATTAATAATGTGTCACAAAGCATAGAAGTTTGTCTATATGCCCAATATCAGAATAACTAAACCAAAGAGATCCATGTAGGAATGCACTAAATTACCCAAGGCACAAATTCCAAGTGATTTTAAAATAAGTGCTACAATTAGAAAGAAAATTGCACACGACAACTTCAAGAATTATCTAATGAGACAAAATAGAAAGCAGACAACACTCATTTCAGTCATCTTCCTCCATGATAATGGCTCCAAACAAACAGTGAGTACATCTGTCACTGACCTGGAACCAGACTTGCTTTGGAAAGGTCTACATTTACTATATCCATTCCCAAAAGATAAACTAATATCTTACCCCCGTTCCTTGTCCTTAATTTTCTCTGATCTATCATTTAGAACTAATTTGGATTTGATTTTAGCCATTGGTTAAAATCGAAAGAGTCAAACATCCACCTTTATAAACCAGGCTAGAGTCATAGGCTGACATTCAGAGCATTACTTTACTCAAATCCCTATTTACAGGAAATCTACAAGAGTTGCACTAAAAAATTAACATCTTCTCCACGCACCTTATTAAATCAACCCCAAACTTTAATAACAGTAATGTCATTCAGACACATGCAATCCGAAAGTAGACTGAAGAACTCCAAGTTATCATGATTCATGTATATTTGTGATGAAGGCTTGCAAGGATCTTTCTGATGAAGCTTATTTGAGGTTTTTCAATGAACTCCTCGTTTGCAGGGGTAAAGACTTTTAACACACTAACTCAATCACTAAAATAACCAAACTGGAAGTGTAGAAATTCAAAAGTACCCTGAAAATGTAAAATATTCCATTTCAAGAAATCTAAGATATTTAATTTGCAATATAAGACTTTTCAAAGTACACAACTCCCCCAAATTAACTTTTTGTGCCATTTTGGCAATTGTATATATTCCATTTCAAGAAAGTGGGTATACTAGTAATAAAGAAATAGCTCAATTTGAAAGTGAAGTTATTTGAAAGAATAAGTAATTAATCATGCAAGTAGAAGGGACAAAACAAGAGTGGGGCTGCATGAGACCAACCAAGTTCCCTCCATTCCAAGTAAATAGGTTAATATCCAGATAAAACTTGAGAAACTAGACTCCACAACTACTCATCAGCATGAGCTACACATCATTCTCCCCCGTCACCACAGTACAACCACCCAGAAGCAAAAAGTTCAGCTTTTCACCCCAAATGGATGTTTACAGCTGGTTAAGTGCAGTTCCCAGGCATGCAGTTCTATTCTCCATATAAATGATAAAATGGACACTGCTAATCTAGTAAATAAATGGTGTAGGTAGTGTCCACCTTTACATAAGAATGCCCTAGCCACGTATTAACATCAAGACAAAATGATCGTGTTACATATGTATACTAATAATTGTCTTGGTGACTATAGAATCATTTGTATAATTCTGAGTAAAAAAATTCTTTCTTCAGTAAGCTAACAGCATATTTACCCTTCTCGCTTTTTCTTATCCATGTTTGTCCTTTTGTAGTTTAAAGGTGACTGAGAAGACAAAAGGTCAGATGCCTGAAGAATCTAACATGTGGATTGTCAATCGAGAGTAATAGAGGTCTGAGATGAAGATCAAATCACTCATTTAGTTCTTCTAAAAACGCACTTCCTTTTTTATGTAGGTTCCCAAAAAAAGAATCCCTAAAGTTTAATCTCCACTTTCTAAATTTTTTGACACAATACAGTATGATGAAAGAAATACTGGTGAACTAAAATATCAATGGAAAACCTATTCAACTTCATCCAATGGGTGATAGTAACTCTGACATGCTTTATCACAATGATCATTCTCCAAATATGGCCCCGCATTTAGATTTTTGAGTTTTTCATTTGACGTGTAACCCTGACTACCATATCACATTTCTTCATTTAAATACAGTGTTTATGTCAAAAGGAACTGCAGCTAAGTGCTAACTGCAAAACTTATCCGTTTCTTATTCTTGTTTGTTCTAATGCTGCACCCTCCACAAATCGCTATGAACGTCTTTTATGATGTTAACAAGTCATCTTCCCATTTTTCTTACCAAAGCATATTCTTCTACATCCCCCTAGGTCTTGTGATAAAGTGACAAAGATTGGAGGTGATATCATGAGTCAGAAGATTCAACCTCCTAGTATTCACTTTAATTCTCTGTAGCCAAGTTCTAAAGTGGATTCAATATCTCGCTCAAGTAAACTTGAAAAATGTTATCCTCAACCATTTCAGGAGCAAGTACAATTCATGAAATGACAAAGTCATCCAAACTCATCAAAGTTCTCAAACTTTGAAGACAATAGTTAACTGGTGTGTATATTCTCCTTAGAGTAACCTTCAAAATGTTCTCCTCAACCATTTCCAGAGCACGTATTATTGGTAAAATATCTAAAGCATCTGAGGTCATAAAAGTTCTTAAACGTTGAAGATGGTGCTTGGAACATGCACTATAAAACTACTCTACCTACTTTGCAGGATAAATGCAAACTTAACCTTATCCATATTAGAAATCAGATCTACTTTTAACCAGCAGAACAATTGCACCAAGTGACAAACTGCAATTGGACTTCCCCAAGTTGATATGCCATATATGACAGCTGAAGGCGCTGTACTTCCTATGGACAACCTTAGCCTCCTGTTGCTTGCCAATTCTCATTGAACTAACCAATCTACGACATGGCAAGACTAAAGAGTTCAAAGCCCTATCAATTAAAATTACTGATCAATCCACTTATGAATAAGCTAACTGCAAGAAAATCCAAATAGGAGACTAAAGAGTTTACTTGGTGAAAGGTAAGAATGCCAAACTTAAATGTATCTGCTTGATTATAAAATAAGCCTAGAGAAAGCCATCAAAACTATTGCTTGTTCTGCACGTCTTAAGCTGTGCCAGAATGATGAATATAAAACCTTTTATGGCATCTATGAACAGCAGTCGATGAACATAAATTAGTATTAAATGACTATCCAAATACTTCGCAAAAAGATAAGCTTGAACGAGCAAACTAAGTTATCACAGAGATAGAAAGCTATTTACCAACTTGCATATTCCAACTTGATAGAGATAAAGGGAGCTAAGTCCCAAAAGTCCCTGAAAAGTAGCATGTACAAAATTATGCAAGAGTACTAGAAAAATTATCGATTCATTACAGAAAATTAAATAAAATAAAAAAGAAGGTTGTAAAACTCCTCAGAGATGACTTGTACTGTTCTATATGTAAGATGAAAAGGCCATTCAGATAAAACATGTAAGATTCATGTGAAGCGTAACTTTGTCTGAGCTCCACATGAATTGTTCAGAAGTCCTTCAAATCAGGGAAGTAGTGATGACAAATATTAAAAACACTTGCCAAATGGAGAAAAAAAAATTAAAAGAAAGCTAACACTTGTTTTTAGGGCAATGAAATTCTTCAGGACTTTGCTTCAAATTCCAAGGTCAAGCTGAATCTCAAAGCCTTACTGTATAACATGAATGAGTAAATTTCTCAAGAAATAATAAGCATTGTAGGAATATTAGTGTTACCTCACTTAGATTGTAACATACAATCAGTATCCTTTAGTGCTCAAACAAGATGTGTTATACGATATTGGAGCTTGGCATTTTCTGCATGTAGCTGCTTTAGCTCTTTCTGAGCCTAAAAGGGATATAAAACAAGACTGGGTTACCTTTTTAGCACTATTTAACATGCAAAAATTAAAAAAACTGCACAAAGCACAACTTTTCTCTTCCTAAAGCTTGCTCCGCTTTCACATTTTCTAACTTTGACTAAAGCTCACGAACCTTATTCTATAATTTCTCATTCCCAGCATCTGAAGAAGCATATCGATATGAAGAAAAGGTTAAGGATGAGTTAATTAGTAGACGTCAGAAAATTCAAAATGAAATCCGTTGAAATGCATTGATCGTTAAACCTACTTCTGTCACTAGCAATAGCAGCTTCAAGTCTTTCCAATCGAGTCTACATGACAAAGAAGGAAATTTCAATCAGTAAAACCCCTATCGTCAACAAAAACGAGGACAGATCTCCCAAACTGTCATATGATTAACATATTACCCCTAAAAGCTTAGTGCACGCTACAATTATTAATAAAGCAAAGCGTAAAAAGTAGTATTCGAATACAAGAAAATAGTATTCTACAATTCTGTAACTTCATTTGCATGCCAAACACAAAAGAATCCACTACACAAGGGTGTGTTTGATTCCTCAAAGAGAGTTGAATTGTATACCATAGGATTTAAGTAAAATTTGTATAGACAAGTCCAATTCTAGTGCAACTCCAATTCTCACACGGAACCAAACAAAAACATCAAACAGAAGAATCCGAAGCTCCCAATTTAGATTCCTGGACTAATTTAATATCTGATTCATATATTTATAATTCGTAAACATGATTGATGCATCAGTAAAAGAAACGTCAAAATAAATTCATCAAACTAGTCTAAGAACTCCTGGTAAAGCCCTCCAATAATTGGATTAAAGCATGAGAATTGATACAAGAAAAATTAAAGCATAACATATCAATGACAAGTAATTTGAAAAAAAAAAAAGAAAAGAAGAGAAAAGCACCAAGATTTAGACCCATAATGTGGGAGTTAACGAGCTAAAAAGAGATCAGAAACCTCAGCCTCAGAAGCTCGCTGGTGAAAGGATTTGCAGATTTCGGGCAGATTGTTTTCTGCCATTGGAGTAGATGAAGGCAGCTGCCCGCGTGCCAAGAGACAAAAGTGTCCGGTTTTCGGAGAGTTCGAGGTTGGGAAAGGGGATAACCAAAACTTTTTTTCTTTTTGGGTTCTCTCATTTGCGTATGGGAACAACTCAACGAAGTTGTACCAAAAAGTACTACACAATCGGAGTATTTGTTCATCATGCCACCATAAAAAAATTGAAAAAATAAAATTAAAAACACATGCACAGTAGGAGTAATTGGAACAAGTCAGTAACTTTATAGTACAAGTGTACACAAATGGAATTTTGGATGCAACTTGGAAATCTATCTACACATTTACACGATGCATAAATTACAATCAATTTATATACAAAGCATGAGATATTTTTTTAGTGTTAAAATGGGAGTCTTTGGATGTCAATTATATGAAACAATTATTTAATTTATATCATTAACACATTTTCTCATCTATTTATCTTTCTAATCATCTGTTTATCTCACGTCACAAAAAGTACTACAATGTCAAAATAAGTAATTTTTTTTCAAATAATGGATATCTCAATACCCCGATACGTTGATTTACATTTTATTACTGCGGAGGGAGCGCCCGCGTATTGCACTAGTGTTAGGTAGGCTTGTCAACAGGTCGAGTCCGAGTCCGGAATTATCGGACCTGGATCCGACCTGTTTATCCGGCGGGTCTTCTACTCTATATTCCGGATCCGACGGGTCCCAGATCCAGGTCGGGTCTACCCGAAAAAATTTATCAAACCTTACAATTTCTAATAAAAAATGAGAAAAAAATATATTTGTAAAACTAATTTCTAACTAATACAAAAAAAAATCAAATAAGAAAAGAAATCAAATTGACTTTACTCAAATACATCACCCTAATCAAATTATATTGATAAATATATATATTTTAAATTATTAATCCATTTATATTCGGATCTGGGTCTAATACGGATCGAAATACTATATTCTGTATCCAACCCGTTTTTTGTTTGACAAAACGGATCCGGATCCGGGTTCGGGTAACAGAATTAAATCTCTACCCATACCCACAATAATTTCACGGATCCGGTACCGTTGACAGGCCTAGTGTTAGGTGCCTGTTATTAAAGAGGATTTTAAGATAGTTGTTTGTTGGTGGTTATGTTGTTATTTTGTAAAGTTTCCAAAATATTTAAATTGGTAGAAGAGTAAGTGAATGAAGATAAGAATGAGATATTATATTAAACGATAATATTTCATAGCATAGGTTTCAATAATAGATTGTCTGCAAAGGCTATTTAAGTCTCCCTTTCTTTAGATTATTATTCAACTTGCATTTCATAGGTTACAGGTAATTTCATTAGCTATATGTTTATTCTTGGGGTTAAAATGTTAATCAAATTAATAAGGATTATAATATTTGTAAAAAGTTATTTAAGTTTTCTTTTCTTCAGATTATTATTCAATTTACATTTCATGAATTACAAGTAATTTCATGGGCTATATGTCTGTTCTTGGGGTTAAAATTCAAAACCACACTCATTCTTGTACAGTGTGAGGTTTTGTTTCGCATCTTTTGGTTTCTTTTTGGTTCATCTTTTTAGTTTTTCGTTGCAATTTAGTTTTTGTTTACCTGTATAAGAAAGCATTCATTGATCCATAATATAAGAAAACACTCATTGAAGTTGTTTGTTTGAAGGAGTTTCTACAAATTCATCACTGCATAAGGAAATCGAACCATTTCTATGACCTTTACTTAATTAGAAGGTATATGTGAAACACTATTAATATAAATGGCTTAGAAAGTGTTTATTCTATTAATTCATCAGTGGCTAAACAATTCAAACTCAAATCAGTAGCATACCATGTAACCTACCAATTCACAATGCTTTGCTATCAATTTACTATCAAAATGAATTTCATATATGAATCACCTATTACATGCAACAGAAAAACACACCATAACTAAACTAATTAAAGTGTTTTTTTAGCTTATCTTATTCCAGATACTTCTCGAAAAACTTTTTTTTGTAGTTGTTCCAAACCTATTGCATCATAAATACACAATTTAAATTACACAAACCAACCAAATTTGTGAAAAAATCATAATATTATAGTTAAATTATGCAACTAGATTTTCAAAATTTCTGATAGAATCAGTCATTCGACGCGACACACCACCAAAACCACCCACATAAACAATAAAATTAAGAAACAAAACTCACCTCGAACTGAACCACCAAGAATAGTTTCGCTTGAAAATCATTTTGGAATGCAAAGTATAAAGGCAGCAAAAATAGCCCAATCTCGAAAGTCGAAAGAAAAAAAAACCGAAGAATTTGAAGAAGAATGCATTTGAACAACTATAACCGATGCTGAGGTATAAATTTATTAACATACCCACATTTTCTTCAGTTTAATTGAGATGTAAATGACAATGACAATTGAATATGTTTCAAGCAATTGAACATCATCAAGCGGTAAGATTATTGCAACATGCCTTTATTTCAATTGCACAATAAAATACCACACTTCAAATAAATATGTCTGTAATACCATTTAAGTAATTACACCAATACATAAGCTTGTATGACTTGTACATGATGCAAAAATGATTATAAAATAATCCCATATTCCAAAAGTACTCAAATGTCTCCATAAATAAACGCTTTAAATGTGCAAATATGAGGAGATTTTCATAAATATACCAAAATGCATGCTACCATCACTTGTATCCAGAGCTAAAAATAAACTCCATATCATGCCACATTTTAAAAATGCCCCTATCCATGTAGTTGAAATTCAAAATCCTCTTTGACCACAACTCATTCTTATATTATAGCAACATGTCTTTATTTCAATTGCACAATAGATATTACATTTCAAGTAAATGTGTTTGTAACACCATTTAAGTAATTACACCAATACATAAGCTTGTATGACTTGTACATGATGCAAAAACGATTATAAAATAATCTCACATTCTAAAAATACGCAAATGTTTCCTTAAATAAACGTTTTAAATATGCAAATATGAGGAGATTTCCGTAAACATACCAAAACACATGCTACCACCACTTGTATCCAGAGTTAAAAATAAACTCCACATCATTCCACATTTCAAAAATGCCCTTATCCATGCGGTTGAAATACAAAACCCTCTTTCACCACAACTCATTCTTATATAGTATAAGGATGTTTACTCCCTCACATTATAGCACTTCAAAAAAAAAAAGAAAAAGAAAAAAGGAAACTAAACTGTCATGTTTGGATTGCATTTTTCTGAATATTTTGTACAAAAATTATTATAGCGATTTGATATATGTGAGATAATAAGATGATTGAAAAATGTGTTCATAAAAAACGTAACAATTGAACACAATAACTTTCTCCAATAAAAAAAAATTACTTTCCAAACAAGTAAGTTTGTAATTTCCCCCATCTCCTCATTCTCATCACATTGAACACAATAACTTTCTCCAACTCTTCACCAACTATTGAATACTTTTTTGAAATCAAGTACTCATAAAAGAGTTTGCAAAACCTAGTGCCGTATAATGTTTTAAAATTTCTTTTATACCTACACTACTAAGGGTAAAATGGTGCCAAATCACAAAACCCCCATCAAGAATTTGATACTCTTACCAATCCCATAAAAGGAAAAAAACACTAACAATAAGTATAATTATCATGGTCTTAGATTTTCCAAAGGCATAATTTAACAAGATAACTTAAAATTTTTTTTATCAATTTGTAAGAGAGTAAAATTAAGTAGTCTATAAATTAAGTGCAAAAAAAATAATTTCTAAAATCCTAAAGGCTATCTAGTTAAAACTCAAACTTTGGGTATTAATGAGATAGTTTGGATTGCACTTTTTGAAAAGTTTTTTTTTTTACAAAAAATTACTTAACATTTTTTTCGGATATGATATATGTACGGTAAAATTAAAAAATATGTAAAAAAATCACCAAAAACCACAAAAATTTTCTTTAAAAAAAATTAATAATCTAGACAGGGTCTAAATATTTTGGAGGTCATGGCATTGGCAGGGAAAGGCTCATTGACTCTTAAGGGCAATATATATTCATCCTTAATACAGTCATCCTTGAGAGTACAACTCCTTTAAATTATCCAAAGGGCAATATACATTTCACTCCCATGTGGTTTAGCACTTTTTCAAATAACTCCCTTATGGTTTGAAAAATTATATATAACTCTCTCATAATTTAGATAAAAGTGTCAAAGTCACATAATTTGCATTCTATAACAAAGTCAACTTAAATGTCAAAAGTACTTTTTTTGTGAAGTTGAAAATTATTAATTAATCTTAGAGGGGTTATGTAGATATTTTGAAAACAATAAGGGGATTATATAATAAAATATAAAACCATAAAGGATTAAAGTGCCATGCATATTAAGTTTATATATTTTGGTCAATTCAACTATTTTAGTTTTTAAACAAGGATATTTTCGATATTTACTTGGCTTCTGTTACAGAGGATCATTTTCGTTACTTTGATACTTTAGTTTAAATTATGAGGATGTTATGTATATCTTTTGAAACTATTAAGGAAGTTATATGAAAAATTGTTAAACCACAAAGATGTAAAGTGTATTTTGTCCTGATTGAAAAGAAAAGGAAAAACAAAGCCTGGTCAAGAAACAAAAAAGCCTTCCCGCAGAAAAGTCTTCCAAGAAATTTTGCAGAACAATTGCAGTGAACTTGACTCTCAAATGTGAATTCAAATCAAGGCCAGAAAGAACACGCTACAAGCCTCCCTTGGTCCCCCTAAGACGCAGATTGGAAAGACCTTGACATAGAACTTAAATGCAGATCTTTAAACTCACGCTACCTCAGAAAGAATTTGACGGGAATTAGCTGAAACATCAATGTCGCTGTTACTTAAGCACTAAAACAAATAATGACCAAAATATCTAGCACAAAATCATAAAGAAATTATATGAATAAATCTAAAAATCACTCGAGAATAAAGTGGATATTCATGCAAATTATAGATGATTTAGTGGACATTATGATTTTATCACACACATTTGTTGAGGGCATCTAGTTCAATTGCCATTACTGATGGTATTTTTTATTCATTTTTTACTTTATATAGAACTACAAGAGAATTATGTGAAGATTTTAAAATTTTAAGAGGTCATGTGGCAATATGTAAAATTACAAAGGGGTTATATGTAATTTATCCTAAAAATAATTATCAAAATTCCAAGATCCTAAATAAGAAGCGAAGAAGGATAATTACTGACTACCCTCCTGTGCATTTGTACAATACCATATGATCCTCTTAAAATTTTAAAATATCCACATAACTCTCTTATGATTTTATGTAAAGTTGAAGTTTGATGAAACATAGTCTTCATAACTTGTTAGCTGTAATGATAATATTGCCCTATTTCAGGCACTAATTTGAATAAGGGTCTAATCATTTTTCATAAAATTACATGAGGATTGTGTAGATACATACGAAACTAGAGCGGATTAAGTGAATATTTATGCAAAACTATAGAGGAATCAAGTGGATATTACAATTTTATTATCAGACATACTTTCAAAACACGTCTCGGTCAATCATTGTAAACGAAGATGGTTTCCATCCAATTTCCATTGTCCACAATATCATAGGAGATTATGTGGGTATTTTGAAACTTTAAGGAGGTCATGTCATATTACGCAAAACTACAAGGGGTAGAGCAATTTGCCTATATAAAGAAGCAAAATTTTGTTCCTTTGTAAAACTACTATAATATGATTCAAAGAGAAGCTTCCAGGCTATGAATAGTTTTTCTTCCATGACAATGATACGAATTGTAAATGTACGAGGGAAAAGGAAAAAATTAAAAGAAATTCCACTTTTCCACTGTCTAAGCAACTTTTACCATCTATGGACTTTAACACAAATAAGCCATATCTTAGTTGAACTATTTGTACTTGTAAGTCGGGGCAATATCTGAGAAGCTGCACACAAGACCCGAGTGAAAGAATGACTTTGACTCTCGAAAGCGGAATGAAATCAAAGGTAGAAAAAGACAGCAAGCATTGCGAGTGTTCCAAATTAAAACGCGTAATAAAATATCCATGTCGTTTATTAGTTTCGAAGGACCTTGACTTGATTGTAAATTGCAAGACTTTAAATCCAAACTAACCCAGGCTATTTAATTCATGCAATTGACCTGAAATGGCATATAAGGAATTCACCCTTCTTTGTTTTTAATGTCCAGGATTGACAAGCTACGCCTTATATCTAAGATTTACAATTTTTTTTTTGGGTTTTAGAAATCTGCTCTTAGAAGTTAGAATTTATTCTTTAGCACAAAGAGAGCAATAATTAGATTAAAGAACCATATGGTTTTTAAACTTTTTTTGTAAAAAAAAAAGAAGGTTGCAAGTAATTTCCTTTTAACTGTACCGCTTTTGCTGAATTTGGGCAAAATTTACCAGTTTGGTTGAGCTTGAATTTAGCATCTGTACCTTTTAAAACGAATAACCATGTAATTAAATTTTCAAAATTGGTGTCTAAATTTAATCAACAAAACAATCATTGACAAAATATCAAAATTGTGCTGGTCTACACATTATACCAATTATTACTACATCATTTATGACATCGAATGTTGCACTTCGTGTTGCACGTTTTAACTAATTATGCTAATACACATATAACTGTACACTTGTTACCTGATCTATTTAGTTATGCTAAATCTATAGAAATGCAAAAGAAGGATCATTAGAGTTCAAACTCATACCATATGTCTTGGTGTTCGCATGTACGCAAATGCCTTGAACAAAGATAAAAAGGTTACATACCGGTATTGCATTACTGGCAGCAAAATGTACTTTTAAAACCGAAACATTACTAATTTGCTCCCTTTCTCGCTAGTCTCAAACAACAAAAACGAAAGAAGTTCTAATACTTCTTTTCCTTTTTTTATCATAACTTAAATTTTTCGTTCTTCTTTCTTTTTAATCTCCTAAACTCACAAACTAAGCCTTATATATCTGAGCTACAATTAGATTTTTTTTTTTTTTATAGAAATCTGTCCTTGGAATTTATCATTTACTCTTTAGCACAAAGAGCAATAATTAGATTGGAGAACCATGTGAAGATGATGGGGTGTGTTTTTAAAAATTTTTTTTTTTTGTTGAAAAAAAGGGTTGTGAGTAATTTCCTTCTGATTGAACCGCTTTTGACAAAGGCTACCAATTCAGTTGAAGTTCAATTTAGTAGAACCGTATGCCACTTGTTAAGAGTCCAATTCTAGCTCTTATATTGGCTCACAGTAATAATGGAAGAGTTCTTGGAATTTTTTTTTTCTCTTTTGTTGACGATTGTCTATAATTCTTTTCCTTCACAATAAGAACGGTCAATATAGCCAATTGCGTGGCATTTTTACGAGAAATTCCACACAGCGTACCATTCAAATGCGGAAGACCGCAAACACTGCTGAGTGCTGACTGCACTCCATTTTAAGTGCGAGTCTTTCAACCCAGACTACTTAATCAGGGCGGGCGGCGGGCGCTTACATTTCATCTATCTTATCTTAATTGCGGTCTTTCATAGTACTATAGCATCGATGGACGTTGTAGGCAGCGGATTTGTTCTTCTCATGATACTGCCTATTGCACCAGTTGCAGTAGCAGCAGCAAAGGAGTCTGCTGTGAATTTATTGGAAGCTGAAGCACTGCGCAAGAGTGGCTGGTGGGGAGACACTACTACTGCAACAAACGTCTCTGCCCATTGCCATTGGTTTGGTATCATTTGCAACGATGCTGGTAGCGTTACCGAAATACTACTTCCGGGCTACGGAATTTACGGTGAGTTGACAAATTTCAGCTTCTCTTCTTTTAGATCTCAGTCGAAATGGTCTTTACGGAGCCATCCCACATCAAATAGGTGCACTCTCCAAACTCGCCTATCTCGATTTGTCTTCCAACTATCTTCAAGGTGAGCTCCCTTCTTCTCTAGTAAACCTTACGCAACTAGCACAACTCGATATTTCTTCGAACTCGATTGCAAGCTTAATTCCTCTGGGTATCGGAAACTTGATGAACTTGGTTGCTCTAGATTTGAGCCACAATTCTTTTGGGGGTTCCATCCCTCCAACTCTTGGCCACTTGTCCAAATTAGTCTCCCTCAATCTCAATCAAAATGGCTTTTACGGAGCCATCCCACATCAAATAGCTGCACTCTCCAAACTCGCCTATCTCAATTTGTCTTCCAATGGACTTGAAGGTGAGCTCCTGTCTTCAACTCTTGGACAATTGTCCAACCTTGACTCCCTTGACCTCAGCAATAACGACTTCAATGGGACGATTCCTTCAGCTCTTTTTAATTTGACAAATCTTTCCCTACTATACATTCACTCGAATCCCGCAATGGAAGGATTTCTCCCAAAAGAAATAGGAAATTTGAAGAATTTAGCTAACTTAGACTTTAGCGGCCTTAATCTTTCAGGTGCCCTTCCTTCAGTCCTTTGCGGCCTAACCAAACTAGTCTCTCTTTCAGGTGCTAAGAATCAAATGCATGGTTCCATTCCCTCTGAAATAGGAAATTTGAGATATTTGGAATATCTCGATCTTGGTCCAACCGGCTGACTGGTCAAATCCCTCCGACCCTTGGCAATCTGTCTGCTCTAGTTAATTTGAACCTCTCTTCTAACCAAATAAGTGGTTCCTTGCCTCTTGGACTTTTCAATCTGCCTTTTCTACAAATTCTAGATCTTTCCTCAAACCAACTTGTAGGCCCAATTGCTACCCAATTTGGGGATGACATGCTTAAATCCTATGGGCACATTTTCACTTTGAATCTTTCCCACAATATTCTCTCTGGCACCGTCCCCTCGTCTCTTGAACAACTGTCGGACGTCGACCTGTCCTATAATGCTTTGGAAGGCGAACTTCCGTGTGAGCTTGTCTATTGGTTTGGTTTAGAAAGATTTGCCGGCAATCGAGACTTGCGTTACAATTCCACTTTTTGTGGTGCATCTCCTTCTGTTGTGGGAAATCACAGACATCACACCCTATACTACATCATAGGTCTTGGCGTACCCTTGTTGGTGTTCTCAATAACTGGCGGATTAGTAATTTATATCCGCTGCTTCAAGAAAGTTAAAGTCGAGCTCATGGACAATAAACATGGAGACATTTTCAGAATATGGAACTATGATGGACATATGGCTTATGAAGACATAATTAAAGCGACCAACGATTTTGATGTCAGTTATTGCATCGGGACAGGGGGGTATGGCTCTGTATACAGAGCACGGTTGCCAAGCAGGAAAGTAGTGGCTTTGAAAAAGCTTCACCGTCTGGAAGGCGAGAATCCAAATTTTGACAAGAGCTTTAGGAATGAAGCCGACATGCTTTCTAAAATCAGGCACAGGAACATTGTAAAGCTCTTTGGATTCTGTCTGCACAAGCGATGCATGTTTCTGATTTATGAGTACATGGACAGAGGAAGCTTGTTTTGTATCTTGAGAGATGAAACTGAAGCTGTGGAGCTGGATTGGGTTAAAAGATTGAATTTGATCAAGGGCATTGCCAGTGCATTGTCCTACTTGCATCACGATTGTGATCCGCCAATCATTCACAGGGATGTATCAAGCAACAACATTCTTTTGAATTCACAGCTCGAAGCAACTCTTTCTGACTTTGGAACTGCGAGGATTTTGGAACTTGATTCATCAAATCAAACGGTCATTGCGGGCACCTTTGGTTACATGGCACCGGGTTGGTTACCTTGCTATCCCAGATCACTTTCTTCTTTTCACCAACACGTTTTTCATATGCACATATTAGGCTTAACTTTCAAGGACAGAAAAGGAAAAATTCTTCCAATTGAAATGATTATTTTGTTGAATAGTAAGTCTAGAGTTGTCCAGTTGAGATTAACTTTATTTGTATCCAAATATATACTTACCTGTCAATGCAGAGCTAGCCTATACCATGGTGGTCACTGAAAAGTCCGATGTGTATAGCTTTGGCGTTGTGGTGCTGGAAACGCTGTTTGGAAAGCATCCACAAGATTTCCTTTCCTCCTTTTCATCACAACCCACTGAACCAGTACTGCTGAAGGATCTTCTTGATGCCCGTCTGACCCCTCCGACTAACCCTTTGGTGGTTCGAAATGTGGTTCTCCCAACAGCGTTAGCCCTGGATTGCATCAATGCAAACCCGAAATGTCGACCAACAATGCAGCAAGTGGTGAACCGATTTGAAGAGGGCAGGCGAGAATCAACTAGGCCTTTGCACACCATTGCTGTGAATCAGCTCGTTAGTCCACCAGTACTTTCACTGCCTGACCAAACCTACACAGTTGTTTAAGCACCATGAATGACTTTCGTGCGGATATCTCTGCCGTCATCCAATTTTCCTATCGACGTTTCTACCTGCCTATAATATTTACACCAAAGGATTCAAGTATGCTAAACTCATGCCAAAAATGATAGGATCAGGTCAGCCCAAAGTTGTATTTAAATTTTTTTTTTTGCATAAATTCTAGCACGCATAACCTATACCCAAATTTAAAGTTTAAACCCTAAATATGTAGCATGCATTTACCAGCTAAAAGAGAAAAAGGAATTTCACAAGTAAGAAATGAATGAAACATAAATGGTGCAAACTTTTTTTTCTTAAAAAAATTTGCTAATATAAATGTGCAAGTTTTTATGAATCTCGAGTTTGCCGTATAAACATAGAATGATTTTCAATATGAATTTATTATATCACCTATTAGTTTTAATTCACCAAACTTAAACAAATTCCAATTCTCAAAACTTGCGTTACCATTGTTTCTAACCAAGATCATTTTCACCAATAACAACCGCAGAAAAGATAAAAAAAAAACACAAACACCAAGTTTCGAAATGTGGAACCTATATTCAGCGGGGGTACTTTTTTGGTGCTTACGAACCCATAAGTCCATTGCTGCAATTTTTTGCTTCCTCCTAGGATGCCTCCCACCCCACCCCAAAAAAAAAAAAAAAAAAAAAAAAAAGGTTCCCGGTTGCTCATCAATCAGAAGGAGTTTCCTCATTGTTTCCTGATTTTTAACCAAATGTGTATAATAGCTTAAGAAAACGTTGTATTATTACAAGAAACTCAGGGGCACGTCAAGTACCCATAGAAACCGAGGAAAAGAGCGAGTTGATATCTGCCGGAGGAGGCCGTTGGGTTGGACGGGTTTTCACAACTGGGTGGGCGGAGTAACTCTTTTTTTTTTTTTTTTATAATTATTTTTCGAGTCGAAGAGAGGATTACTAAACTTGGATGAATAATTAAGTAAAAGATTCAGACTACATTGTCACGAAGTCTTCTCTCTACTTTTTTTTTTGTTTGAATTTATTAGAAATATAACCTTAATTCATAGTTTTCATGTGATAAATTATATTACATTTTTGTGCTATTTGATACAATGCAATATGTTATACTCCGATTATTTATATCACAAACATACATATAATTTGTGTTGTTTTTAGTTCTTCTCTAGATTATTAGAGACACTCCTTACATATATACTTCTACTTCTATGGTTTGATAATCATCGTCAAACCTTTTTTTTTTTTATGAAGTGTAGCAATAATGTCGGCAACTTCTTTCTTTTCCCCAGCTAATTTCTCTCCCTTATTTCTCCTCCTCCTCATTTTCTCCCATCCCCAAGTTCTTCCTTCAAGCTTTTTTCAATCACTTGAGTTTTTCGATTGATTCAGGGTTTGAAAATTGAAGAAAAAGAATGACAACATCTTGAGTACACTTACCCGTAGAGTGTGAGTCTTATCATGCCAGTAAAATCTCGCTTAATCTCTAACATTTAAGAACGATGATTTATTTTATTTTCAATTGACTCTTGCTAACAGTTGTTTCTTCTTTTTTATTCCAAATCTTTGGAGTCTGGTTATTTGCTTTCTTACAACTATAACATGATTATTTTGGTTAAATAATCATTATCATTACTATATAAAAAGTATGAATGTTGGTTTTAGGGAGTGCAAGTGTAAGCACTTTTTTATCTTAGTTTTTGTTATCCCTAAATTGCCCTCATGTCTTTTAATTAGAATTATTGCATTTTAATATGGCACTAATTAAAAGAAATAAAACACTCCAATTGATTACATTTTAATAGTATTGGTAATTAGAATTAAAAATTGCTCATTAAAAACTATTTTCCTACTCTTGGACTCCATTTCCAATTATTATACATATCAAAATTTCTTAATTGAAGCATGAAAAATTTCTCATGAGTCATTAGTTGTGATTGTAAGAAAAAAAAATCAATTTCAAAAAATAGATACTCTCTAGAAAATGGAGAAATATATAAGGACAAGAGAACCTTATTCATCTATATGTCTTCATACATATATCACGAGTAAATTTTACAATTATGCACTTTTTACGAATATGAAGAATTTTTCATGTTGCACCCAATGGAATTTCAATATACAAAAATTAATGACATCTTTATAACTGAAATAGCAGTATTAAACTGGAAAAAAAATCTAAAATAGAACCGTACAAACCACTATCATCATTAATAGCAACTGATCAAAACAAAAAAAATTGAAAAAAAATTGTAAACTATTTATAAAATGACATAAAGTAAATAGCAAATGAATTAAAAAACTAGAATACAATTCAAATAATACCAAAGACAACATCCAAATCACTCAGATCTCGGGGAAGACAAACAATATTGGTTTGAGCAAACCAAGTCCATCCACCAAGTCAGAAGTCATTTCTAATGATAAAATAAGAATTATGATAAGGGTAAATTTAAAATGAAGAATGATATCCAAATTGTTTTTAGTGATGTCCAAACTACCCTTATTTTTCTAATGATTACATATATTTATTGTATTGCAATATTAGTGAATAATGGAAGCGGTTATGAAATGAAAAGCTTTAAAATTAAGTAAATTTCATTTATGGTGACAATTGTAATTAGACATATTTAGTGCATTCAATAATTGATAATAATGATAGCGGTTATGGATTAAAAGTTGGCAATTAAAAAATAGAACACCAAAAAATCAATATTAAAATTATTAATTGGCCACAATTCTCATTCCAATTCCATGATCATCGAAAAAACTAATACTAAAACCAAAAATATTGTGCTTATATGAAAAAAGTTGACTTGCTGCTTTTGTTTCGCATTGGATTGTACTAAAAACATGAATAAAAGAAAAGCAAAATAGAAAAAACTTCAACTATCTCTATTTATAAAATTTCAATTGTTAGAATGTACAAACCAAAAAAACTTTACATGGTGGATCATTTAGACTCCATTATTAACAAAAATAGAATTAACATAATACAAAGAATTCAAATTACATGTATGTTTAATTTTCTAACTTAATTATATTCTTCATTTATCAAAAATTGTGATGATTGTGGTTTATAAGCCATAGAATCATGAATATACAATAATTTTGGTAAAACATGATATTATCAATATTTGATATGTTAGAGTTCAAGCTATAAATCAAAAAGTGGTTGGTTCATGATTTCAAATTTAATCCTAAGGGATATGTCAACTACATTAGAATGTTTTCTGTCTCTTTTCATTTAATAAAATTTTTAAAAGTAACTAGCTTAAAAAAATAAATAATATAAAAATACTATTATTATGATGTTGGTGATCAAAATTTCATAAAAAATTTTAAGTATCTAAAGAATAATATATTTTAAGATATTACAATTACGTGCAAAGCACGTGAACTATTACTAGTCATACAAATCATACACCATTGCTGTGAATCAGCTTGTTAGTCCACCAGTATTTTCACTGCGTGACCAAACCTACACCGATGGACAAGTGGTTTAAGCACCACAAATGAATTCCAAGTGGATATCTCTGCCATCATCCAATTTTTCTGTCCATGTTTTTACCTAAACAACTTTGACATCTGGTAGGAAACAGAATAAGATCGTGCTTTGCAAAATACAAACTTGACCAAGCACTTAGATTGCTACATCCTACCAATTAGTGTGCTAATGAAAATAAAGTGTACTAATTAATGAACAATTGCTTGGATTCCCGGTAGTTCATCAATTGAGGAAAACGCTGGTGATTCCGTTTTTTTTTTTTTTAAGGAAAATGCTGGTGATACCTTATTCCTTCCTGGACTTTTAAGCTAAAGTGTATAATAGCCTAAGAAAACGTTGTACTATTAAAGAAATTCTGGAGCGCACGAAGTACCCATAGAATCCAAGGAAAACAGGGAGTTGACATGTGTAGCAGGCCGTTTGGTTGGAGTGGAGTGGATATTTGCGTTGTTTCCAGAATGGTTGGTAAAAAGAATTATTGGTTGGGTTTTCACAATTGGGTGCTTTACAGATGGTTGATGATACTGTTATCCCATATGTGTACCAAGGCCACCTCCCAATTCAGCCCGTGTCCTGCATATAGATGTCCTCAGCTCGTTAATACAATTCCAACGAACGAACCACAGTGAAAAAGCAGCAGGACTTCACCAAAGTTATACTAACAAAGAAAAGTTCTTTCTTTTTTCTTTTTTTTTTTCAAACAAACAAAACTATTGATCATCTGTAACACACGGATTAAACAGTACAAACACATTGATGTTTTTTTGGTAAAATTTGAGTAACAAAGGAGAGAAATTATTATAGAGGTAAGCTTTCTGTAATATATCCACGAGGATGCAGATATGTTAATAAACACCACATTAGTAACTTGAGATTGAACTACAAGACTTCAAACAAACATGAGTTAGTTTATCATTGTACAAGCTTTCGATAGTTAAAAAAGGAAAGATTGAAAAGAACCTCAAGAGTTAGACATTTAAAAAACATATTATATACTCACTTGTGATCTGAAGGATTTGGCCTCAGTTCATAAACAATTGTATTAACGACATCTCTCTTCAACTGTTAATAAGATGAAAACAATGTCATCTTCTTCAATACTGATAAAACAACAAGATTCTCAACTTGAAAACAATTTACATCAAAATTAAACCTTCGAGTGGAAACCAACTTCGATTATTATGTAGTTAGCTAATTCGGTTTTTCTTTTCGTAGCTAACTATATGTTCCGAAGCAAAGATTTTGGTATAGAAAGTTATATGTGCAGGCATTGTGCATTAATGGAAATATAGAAACACATTAGAAGGCTAATAGCAAGTTAAGTTATGCTATAGATGTTATGCACGTATCAGGTTAGATCCCGTCTTCCTTTGATTTTTTAGTATTAGAAAACAATAAACAGTATTCGTAGAAATAATTTTGTGAGTTCAAAAATTTATTGTGATTTTAACAACTTCTCAAACAAATGTATGATTGAAGAAATGATATTCCTTAGTAAAACTAATGCATTTTTCTCTTGCTAAATCAAAGGTAGGTGATTCCACATGTAGTTTTAAAAAAAAAAAAACCCTGCAACAAACTTTTCTTTTAGTCCTAATTATGCATTCTTTTTCATTCCTGAACATGGTTGTCTACTTGTTTAATTCTTGTTTTAAGATTGTAGTTTTCAATTTGTTTTATGGGTCAATGTTACT